CACCCTACAAGTAACCCAGTTACTTTCTCTATATGGAATAGTCACAGTATTCCCACTTGCCATTAGAGAGCGCTCAGTCTGCAAACATTTCCTATTTCCCATCCACAGACTGGGTCCCATATAAAGCTATTTCTTTATGTGGTAGCACTGGCCAGGTTATGATTTTAATCTAGGATAATAAAATGAAATAATGACTCAAAATTACTAATATTTCTTAAATCTATGGCTTTTTATTCACCCAACATTTGGAATCTCCTTTCTCAGACAAAGGTAGTCAACATATAGTGGCCAAATGGTTTATTTAATATCACAAAAATACAAATACATTTTGCTTCTCTTCCCTGGGATGTCTCGTCTCCTACTCATTATCTAAAACCTCCTCCCTCTTACACTTCCAACTTTTCTTTTGGGGTGTTAGAACAAGAGCCCCAAGTTATTTACTCCCCATTAATCGATGGGAAAGATCAAAGAAATGAATTGTATTTCTGAGATACCTTATGTTTGGGACTATGAGCAAGAGAAAATGGAGAGTGCATGAAACTAAATCATTCTTCTCACGTCAGTAACTGTAAGATGTCACAGTTTCATCTGAGTATCTTTTAAAAGGTTGAATCTGCATCATCTCTGTATTGTTGGACTCAGGTAGTTTGCAACACTGGCAGTTAGCATCTTGGAACTGCTCCTCTCTCCAGCATGGCAGACTGGAACTATTCTATCAAGGGCAAAGAAAATAAGGAACTCTAGACTCTTTTAACTTCCCAGTATCTCACTAATCTCTTCCTCCTGTTGGAATTTTAGAAGCCTCCTTGACCCCTAAGAGATGAGCCCCAGTTTGCTACTTAAAATCACCTGCTAATAGCTTGAATACTCTGGACTTGATTGGTGTTTGTGGGCATGATTGAGCCCTAAGTGCCACCTTTCTCTTGTCACCAGCAACAGACTTACTCTGATGTATCTCACATATTAAAAGTCACTTTGGCACAGCCTAAGGTTGTGTAGGTTTTTTCCTCATATGCCTTTTATAGAGTGATTGGAACAAAATGGTTGCTTATGTTTCATATCCAACATGGCAGAACACTCCACATTTCCAATATTTTTCATCTCCTCTCCATGAACTTTTAATCTAAGTGGGACGTACCCATAAGCAGCTGATAAGGACAACAGGCTTAAAGAGGGAGGAGTTCTGGGGTGTCTCCTACCACTGGCTCCCCTGTTTCCTATCAACTCTGCCTCCTTCTGTCAAGTGCATCTTTCTCTCTTGTTTCCATCCAGGCCACAGTTACGACAGTAGATAGTTATGTGTCTATAGCTGATATTCTTTCATAAAACTGTTGTGACCTCTTGATCCCTTGTCTTTTCAAGTGAAATGTTTTTGTTTAAAGATCTAGTTTTCATCAAGCAGTCTCTAGTCTCTTACTTTTCTATCTGGACAACCAATAGAGCCCTCTTATTTTTGCCTCTGGGGATAATTCACAAAGAGAGGTTCTGGAGTTAGCTGAAGTTGAATTTTCCTCTATGTGACCTTTCCTTACACACACTGTCCATTCTGCAAACATCTTTACTTCACTATTTCTAGCAACTGCTCATAATTCAGGTGTTTCTTGTTTCCCATTTATGCCAGTCCTGTCTGACTATATCACAAAGTCAGAGACCTTTTCCCCTTTTTTGTGCTGAATAATATTACTGAATTTTGCAAATATCTCCTCTGTGTCCTGGGCACTCTCATAGTTACTCTAGCTTTCAAAAACATTCTAAATACAAAATTTCATAGGGTAAATGGAAAGTAACCTTAGAGGAGAAGGTGGTAGCAGCTGAGTAGGGGGTGGGGCCAGACTTGAGCTGAGTTTTGAAAGAAGCTAGGGATTTTAGGAGGCGTAGAGGAGACGATGGAGCATTCTCTATGGGGGATAGTTAGTGCAAAGGTACAGATATGAGAGATGAAGCCATATGAGATATAGCAAGTAGGTCAGTATGGCTGCACTATAGTTTTCATGGAAGAGTAAAAAGACTAGAAAAGTAGGAAGTGACCAGGTTGCAAACAACTCGAAATGCCAAACAAATGAATTTATATTTGATCCTAGAGTAATAGGGTGCCACTGGAGTATACCGAATAGGGAGAGGACCTACCCTTTAGGAAAATCACTTTGCTGTCTGGAAGGTGGACTGGAGTGGGAAGAGATTCAAGGCAAATACACCAGTTATGAGGTTGTTGAGATGGTCCAGGTGATAGATGATGAGGACTTTAACTAGTGAAGTGACAATGTGGAAAGGAAAGAAGGAAACATATTCAAGAAATGCTGTGGAGGTAAAAACAACAAAGACTCGGTATATGATTAAATGTATGGGTTCCAGGAGAATGAGAAGCCAAAAATGACTAGAACTATAGCGGTGCCCTCAACAGTAATGGGGAAGTTTCCAAGAAGAGTATATTTTGTAGTAAAGATAACTAATAATGTTATGGACATATTGAGTCTGAGATACTTAGGGGACATGTAGTTGAAATGTCTGATAGACACTTGTTTACTTGGGAATAGCACTTAGGGGAGACTAGGACTGGACGTATGGATCTGGGACTGATCAGCTTAGAGATTATTGAACCCTTGGGAACTGATGAGATCACGAAGTGTGATAGTACCGACAGAAATAAGATTACTCACGGTCCCACGGCTAGGAGGCATAGGAGTTGGGATTCACATTGATCTGAGTGCGGCATTCCCTGCGTTGTCATACTGCTTCTCGCATATAACAAAAGCCACATTCATAGAGCGCTGTGACACTAAACAGAGTGTTGGTATGCACATTTCTTCCTTTGATCCTCAATATGATCCCGTGTGGTAGATGGGACATGTACCATTATCCCCATTTTAGAGGTGAAGAAACTGACTCAAGTGGAGTGATTTGTGCAAGTTCCAATAGAGAAAATGTATTTTAAATGCCTTTTTAAATTTTACCTTATGAATTTATATTTTTACCTTTCAACCTTTCAGGTATTTTATTCAGATTCTTATTCTTTGCTTTCTCCTCCAACAAATAAATTGTTGGCCTCTACTTTTTTTTTTCCCTATGAAAGGATTTCCTCAGTTTCTTGTGATGTTTCCTTCACGCCACAATTCCCAGCTGTGAAACCCCTTGAAGGGAACCAAGTTGGGTATTAGTTTTGCCACAGATTTAGCTGACTCCAGAAATTTGATTTAAGATATCAAATACCTTTATATTCAGAAAATGTCGTCTAAAATAGTTTACGTTTCAGTGAAAGTCTGTGCTGGAAAAGAGAGAATCAGCTTAGCAGAGTGGATAGAGTGCTGGAGTTGGATTCAGGTTGTAATGTTGACAGTTTCTAACTTGTGACCACATAGAGGCAGTTACTTAGCCTTTCTTGGCCTCACTTCTTCACCTGTAAAATAAGGCAGATGGACTAGAATGCTTCTAAGGTGCCATCGAACTTTAAATCTGTCATTTTATTATTCTATGAAAAATAACAAGATTTTTATGGACATGTCAAAATACTGTTTTAAAGGTTTTGTTTTATTTTTTAAAACACACAAAAGTTGTTATTAACTAAATCAGTCTTTTTTTTTTTCCTTCCAAGGGCGGTAAGTATAGAATACTTTCTAAAGTCTGAAACTCTAGGTCTAGAATGCATCACAAAGGAAAATGTTTCTTCAGATTAATCAGTAAGCATCAATTATAGTATTTGACAGGTGCACGGCTGAAGACTATGGGATGGGAAACTTACTAATGCATAAAGATCTGATCCCTTCTCTTGCAACAAAGCCATGCTTTTTGTCTCGAAATCCAGGAAACAAGTTATGATGTTCTCAACTCAAGAAGAAGTACTTTAAATGAATATTTGCACACATGCATGTAGCCACATGCAAATTATTAAAGTCCTGACAAGCTGTAATGATTTGCTTTTGTCGTTCAGTCTTTTCAATCATGTGCAACTCTTCATGACCCCATTTGGGGTTTCTTGTCAGAGATGCTGGAGTGGTTTGGTGTTTTCTTCTCTAGTTCGTTTTACAGATGAGGAAATGGAAGCAAATATGGTTAAGTGACTAAATCCAGGGTCACACAGCTAGTGAATGTCTGAGCCCAAACTTGAGCTGAGGTCTTTCTGCCTCCGGGCCCAGTGCTCTATCCACTGAGCCACCTACCTGACCGGTTATGATGATTATGTGTGTGTTATTGTTGACTTTTTGATAGCTGCTTTTTAATGTACCAGACTTATGAATGATAGAAATTGAGTAGATAATCCAAATTTTCGGTAACAAAGATTAGGTGACAAAGAGGACCTTGCAAACACTAGTGTCACTGGTTAAATTATGCAAGGGAAAGGAATAAGCATTTTTACAGCACCCTTCTTTGTCCCAGCACCATGTTAAAGGCTTTTTTTTTTTTTTTTTTACAATATTATCTCATTTAATCCTCACAACAACCCTGGGAGTTAGGTGCTATTATTATCCCTATTTTACAGTGGAAGAAACTGAGGCAGCCTGAAGTTAAGTGACTCATGCAAGGTCACAAAGCTAATAAGTGTCTGAGGCTAAATTTGACCTCAGGTTTTCCTGCCTCTAGGCTTAGCTGTGGTAAAGAACTGCTTCTTTCAGAAGAACTAATGTGAAAAATTGCATTTTGTTTCATGATACTTGGGTGCAATACTGTTATGTACTTGAAGATTATAAAAGCAATCAAACCAATTTATTTCTAGAAATTTTTAAATATGCCCATGTTTTCCTGGGTTTTTTTGTTTGTTTGTTTTGTTTTTTGTTGTTTTTCATTTTCTACTTGAATGCCCTCTCCTCAATGCAATTTGCCAGCTATTTCCCCCAGGAGGGGGTTTGTAAAGGACATTTTTTATTCTCCTGCCTTCATTTTTCACTGCCCACATGAAAACCCAGTCACTGCTGATATGGCAGTTCATGTAACATCATATCTCATGCATTACCTTGGGATATTCTCTTTTGAGTTGTTGACTTTATATTTTTGGTTTGCATACACAGGTTGTCTCCTGGTTCTGACATCTATGTGACAGTTTCATCCATTGCTTTAGCGAGATCACAGCAATGTCGTAATTCCCCTAGTAACCTGTCTTCATCTAGTGAGACTGGCTCTGGTGGGGGCACTTACAGACAAAAATCCATGCCTGAAGGGTAGGTATGCTGTTTGCACCATTTTATCCATCGACTGACCAGCATTTATTAAGTGCCTACTATATGCCAGACACTGTGCTAGATGCAGGGAATGCAAATAGAAAGAATGAACCAATCCCTGCTCTAAAGAGGCTTATATTCTGATGGAGGAAGACAAGTAAAGTAAATACAGAATAAACATGAAATTAATTAGGGAGTAATTAAGGAGGAAGGGCATTAACAATTGGAAGATATCAGGAATAAAAACATACAAAATGGTGCTTGAGTTGCATCTTGAGGGAAGAAAGGCTCTCTGTGAGACAGAGGCACGGAGAAAGGGCGTTGAAGGCACTGAGAATGAACAGTACAAAGGCACCCGAGCCAGAGATGGACTGCTGGCAGGTAGGAACCGAAAGAAGGCCACTCTGGCTCGAGTGGCAGTCATGTACAACGTGCTAGAAAGGTGATGACCAAGTAATGAAAGTCTTAAAAAGCTAAATGGAATAGTTTATACTTTATCTGTGAGATAACTGAGACTCATCAGAACTTAGATTCTCCTGACTCCAGGCCCAAGATTTCATCAGGGGGTGCTCTTTCCTTCATCCCTGGATACAACCCTTCAGAACCTTAATAGACATAAATTATGGCTCAAAAAAATTCTTCACCTTATGGACAACCAATTCTTCTCTATACCATACTAAAAGTTCTATCTGCTAAGACTCAACAGCATGTATATTCATTCCACTGTTATATCCTTCAGCAACCTAGTGTTATCACTACATCACAATGAGGCAATTAAAATAAGACTTTAGCGGGATGTGTGTGTGTGTGTGTGTAGACATACACATATATGCATGCACACATGCATACATGAAGAACTAAATGAAAAATATGGTTCATATTTCAAAAAGGGAAATACTTTGATGTCTGCTTAACACCTCTTCTTGAGAAGTTTACCCTTCAAGAGTCTATACCATAGACTCTGGGAATGCTGAGTTATCACATGGGTTGAACTTCATCTACTTCATTAAATCAATTAATTTCATATTTCTTTTTTTTAAATTTTTGTTCATTTTTTTTGTTTTCAACATTTATTTCCACAAGATTTTGAGTTCCAAATTTTCACCCGATCTTGCCCCTCCCCCCACCCCAAGATGGCATGCATTCTGAATACCCCTTCCCCTAGTCTGCCTTCCCTTCTGTCTCTCCCCCCCTTCTCTTATCCCCTTCCCCTTCAGTTTTCCTGTAGGGCAGGATGGATTTCTGTACCCCATTTCCTGTATTTCTTATTTCCCAGTTCCATGTGAAAACATTTTTTTTAAACATGTGTTTTTAAAACTTTGGGTTCCAAATTTTCTCCCTTCCTCCCTCCCCACCCACCCTCATTGATAAGGCAAGCAACTAAATATAGGTTATATATGTGCAGTTATGTAAAACACTTCCATAGTAGACATGCTGTGAAAAACTAACTCTATTTCCCTTAATCCTATCCCGCCCACCCATTTATTCTGTTCTTTCTTTTGACCCTGTCCCTCCTCAGAAGTATTTGCTTCTGATTACTCCCTTTCCCAATCTTCCCTCCTCTCTATCATTCCCCTACTCTCTTGTCCCCTTCTCCCCCTGTTTTCCTGTAGGGTAAGATAGATTTCCACACCCAATTGAGTGTATATATTATTCCCACCTTAAGTCAAATCCTTTGAGAATAAGATTCACTCATCCCCTCTCACCTTCCCCCGTTTCCCCTCCAATGTAAGAGCCTTTTCTTTTCTGTTTTGTTTTGGATTTTTTGTGGGATAATTTACCCCATTCTCCCTCTCCCTTTCTCCTTCTCCTAGTATATACCTCTCTCACCCCTTAATTTTATTCTCCAGATATGACCCCTTCATTTTCAACTCACCCTGTACCCTCTATCTATCTATCTATATCTATATATACGTACATATAATTTTTTCCTCCTCCAGCTACCCTAATACTGACAAAGGTCTCATGAGTTACAAATATCATCTTTCCATGCAGGCATGTAAACAGTTCAACCTTAATAAGTCTCTTAGGATTTTCTCTTTCCTGTTTACCTCTTCATGTTCCACTCGAGTCTTGTATTTGAAAATCAAATTTTCTGTTCAACTCTGGTCTTTTCATCAAGAATACTTGAAAGTCCTCTATTTCACTGAATGACCATTTTTTCCCCCACAGGATTATACTCAGTTTTGCTGGGTAGGTGATTCGTGGTTGTAATCGTATTTCCTTTGCTCTCTGGAATATTATATTCCATGCCCTGCGGTCCCTTAATGTAGAAGTTGCTAAATCTTGTGTTATCCTGATTGTGTTTCCACAATACTTGAATTGTTTCTTTCTGGCTGCTTGCAATATCTTCTCCTCGACCTGGGAATTCTGGATTTTGGCTACAATATTCCTAGGAGTTTTCCTTTGGGGATCTCTTTCAGGAGGAGATCGGTGGATTCTTTCAATTTCTATTTTGCCCTCTGGTTCTAAAATATCAGGACAGTTTTCCTTGATAATTTCTTGAAAGATGATGTCTAGGCTCTTTTTTTGATCATGGCTTTCAGATAGTCCAATAATTTTTAAATTCTCTCTCCTAGATCTATTTTCCAGGTCAGTTGTTTTTCCAATGAGGTATTTCACATTGTTTTCTAATTTTTCATTCTTTTGGATATGTTTTATAGTGTCGTGATTTCTCATAAAGTCACTAGCTTCCAATTGCTCTATTCTAATTTTTAAGGAAGTATTTTCTTCAGTAATCTTTTGGACTTCCTTTTCCATCTATCCAATTTTGTTTTTTAGGGCATTCTTCTCCTCATTGGCTTTTTGGACCTCTTTTGCCATTTGGGTTAGGCTATTTTTTAAGGTGTTATTTTCTTCAGTATTTTTTTGGGTCTCCTTTTGCAAGCTGTTGTTGTTTTTCATGATTTTCTTGCATCACTCTCAGTTTTTCCTCTACTTCTCTTACTTGCTTCTCAAAATCCCTTTTGAGCTCTTCCAAGACCTGGGACTGATTTGTATTTTTCTTGGAGGCTTTGATGTAGGAGCTTTGGCTTTGTTGTCTTCTTCTGGTTGTATGTTTTGATCTTCTTTGTCACCAAAGTAAGATAAGATAGTCTGACTCTTTTTGCACTGCTTACTCATGATCCTGGCCAATTACTTGAGTTTTAAACTCTTTGTTAAGGTAAAAGTCTGCTTCCAACGTGAAGAGTATACTGTCCCAAGCTTCAGGGGTTTGTACAGCTATTTTCAGAGGTCCTTCTAGGGACCTGTAAATTTTCAGTTCTTCCAAGGTGGTATGATAAGAGGCGAGGTGTTTTCTCTCCCCCACCACAACAAGCTGCACCGTACCAGCGTTCCTCCTCACCCCAGGACCACCCCTCAGAACTGTGACCCAAATCCAAGCACCAGTAAAGCAAGAGATTCCTGCCTCAGCACTGGCAAAGAGAACCCTGCAATCCCCCTCTGATCAGTCACTTGATTCCCCCTCAGTCTGTGGGCCGGAAGCTCAGGAAAAAGTGGCCCTGGGCCGCGCTCGAGACTTGAGGCTGAGACCTAGCTCCTCTCTCACCTCAGTCACAGACTTTTCCCTCTGACCTTCTAAGTTGTCTTTGGTGTTCGTGGGTTGAGAAGTCTGGAAACTGCCACAGCTGCCCAAGATTCAGCCCTCTGAGGCCTGCTCCAGGGTCTCTGCGGCCTGCGTGCCCATGCCGAGCTGCACTCCTCTCCCCGCCTGGCTCAATATGCCTTTCTGATCAACTATCCAGGCTATCTTTGGCTGGAAATTTGTTTCACTCTGTCTTTTTGCGGGTTCTGCTGCTTTAGAATTTGTTTAGAGCCATTTTTTATAGGTATTTGGAGGGCTTTGGGAGAGATCTCAAGACAGTGACTGTTTTCCCTCTGCCATCTTGGCTCTGCCCCAAGACCTCTGCCACATTTCTTCATAGCGTTAACTTCTTTGGTGGATTTAGTAGAACTACTCTCATTGCTTGCAATGTGTATTATTGTGGAAGTAGATAAAGGCTATTCACATCCCAGACATTGACTGGCTCTTTTCAAATGTTGAAAGTTTTCTGTAACCTTTCCCTGACATCTTTCTTCCTTCTTGAAACCACTGAGCCACCTGAAAGCCATTGTTTGCCTTTGGGTAAGACTCATAAAGTAAAACACTTAAGCACATGGCAATTTTCAAGGATGTGAAAAAAGAAATAAATTGGAATCTCTGAAGCTGGGAAAGTAATTAACAGCAGCAACATTACATGACATATACTAAAGTATCTTTTGCCTAAGGAAAGAAGTAAAAGATAATTATCAAAGAGTTTTTGCTATGATTTCCCTTTTGGAGATATAACTTGAGAACTTACACCATGTGAAACATGTATAGAAGCTGAAGTTTCTGTTCCCCCAAAATTCCTTTCTTAAGTACATTTTTACTATGTGAATGTGTTTCTTTGGTAATTTTGTTGACATTTCGCAAGAAGTCAGAAACTGAGCACAAGAACTAAAGCTTCCAACGCTATTTACTTGGAACCATTCTTCACAAACCATTATAGATTGTACCTTCGCCCTTCTCAGAATGCCTGAAATGAATGCTTTTTTATTAACATGAGAATAAGAAACATTTTAGCTCTTTTCAAGAGATTTTATAGAATTAGTAGTAGTGAAACAATATGATATACATTAGTGAACATTTTCTATTTTAGTTGTGGGGTAAGGCCTGGCACTCTGTTTTTACTGCTCTAGGTATCTCCCAGGAAAGGAAACTCCTTCTTCCAATGCAAATTGGTACCTTCTCTGCATATTGAGCATTGCCTAGAGCTCTGAGATTCAGTGACTTGCCCAATATTACTTAGCCAAGATATCAGTGTTGCTTCAAGGCTGGCTGTCTCATTACTAACACCAAGCTCTGTCCATGCTCCCTTCTATTTTAATTGTTTGGTTTAAAATGGCCTGGTTAGTCTTTAAAAACAAAAAGCTAATTGCAGCTTAATTGTTAAAATGATTATTAACATAAATGAACATGAAAGCAGGGTGCTTTCTGTGAACTGTGACCGAGTTCAGCAATTAATCAACTGCATTATATGGCCCCCAGTTCTAAAATCTACAGAACAATGATCCCATTTCAGTGAATGTTACAAATAGTAAGGTTCAAATGAAAAGCAATATGGTACATTGACTGGAAGGCTGGCCTTGGAGTCAGGCCTGGGTTCCGGTTCTGCCTTTGACATACTGTTTGTTCTTATGCAAGTCATTTACCTCTCCTTGTCTCAAGAAGCCCTCTGGCTATAAATAACAGTGCATCAACAGAAGGAGCTTCCATTCTGGTGCAATCATATGAAATCTATATGATTACAGTTTGTTAAAAGAATTTCTTATCTATTTGATTCAGCATTTAATCTCCAAACCAACTATATTGATAACATTTTTTTCTCCCTTCAAAATAGTATCTCTGTATTTTATGACATAATAGACATTAGTTCCCTTGTTGGAACTAACTAATATAAGGCCAGAGACCTAAGCTTGATTCCTATTTAAGCCAGATAATTTTGGGAATTTTGAAGGTACAAGAGACCTTAGCGATAACTAAACCTTCTCCCTCCATTTCTGAACTCAGGGATGTTCAGTGACTTGCCCAAAGTCAAATCAGTTGCAGAATCTGAGTAGGAAGGTGTCTCAGAGACCATCTAGCCCAGCTGCAATACAGTGGTCACCTAATTGCTACTGAGCAGGAGGAACCACAAACTTCACAGGCAGCCCATTTCACTTGGAGATAGCCCTAATTCTTAGAAAGTTTTTCTTTATATCAAGTCTAACTTTCTTCCACTTCAAATGCTGCCTGTTCTTTTAAGTTATTTTACTTCTACAGTTTCATAATCCTTATAATTGCTCTCTGATCTTCAGCTGGTAATATTGGTAGAGGCAAAAAAGAATCGTGACCTGTGTCAGGAGATTGGAGTATAGAGGAGAGGCACTCAGAGAAGAGAGGGCAATGGGAACACTGAATGTAGAGCTTTATAGGAACCATCACCACTACTATGAAAACAACCAAAAGTGCATACAAACTAGGATCAATATCCCCAAATGGGATAATCCAGTAAATATCTAGCACATTAAGAATGAGAAGACTCATTTTTTTACCTTCTGACTCTCCTGATCCACCTTTCAGTCCCATATTTTTAACAGGGATGTATTATATGATTCTTTTAGCTCTTCAGAGAATAGTGGTATATTAATACAAAATCAAATTTGAATGTGTTTATTAAAATAATATTTAGAGATAACTACTCTTTTTGCTTAGCATGCTATTTAAAACAGTATAGGGCAGGGTTCTTAACTTGGGGTTCATTAATTTTTTTGATAACTATATCTCAATTGAGTTCCTTTGCAGTTCTGTGCACAGAGTGTCCTAAAAGTCTAGGAGTTTTATTTTACAAATTTAAAATTATTATTCTGAAAATGCATCCATATACTTCATCAGACCACTAAAAGAGTTCATGACACAAAAGAGCTTAAGAACCCCTGTAGGAGACAAGAGAATCTATATCTAGATTTAGATTCTTTAAATCTACAATTTTCATGAACAATCTTGTACTAGTAGAATTCATGAAATGCCATTGAAAAGTAAAAAGAAAATTATGCTATGTTTAACTCATTCTTCTTTGGGGGACAAAATTTACATTTTGAATCAAGTTACATATGAAAATTTGAATCAGTTAACCAGTGAAAAATTAAATTATCTTCATTTGTTACTTAAAATGTAAATTTTGAATACTGCCTAATGTCAATATAGTTGACAGTTTCATAGCTAGATGTGTCTTGTTCAAGGAGGTGGTAGCAAAACAGTCTATGTATTGAATCCTTTGTTGTCATGAACACTTTTCTTAAACTTGCAGAAGACTGAGTTTTTGGATCAAATGTAAGTTGCCACATTATCTGTTGTACCTAGTGTGGTATAATAGGAAAGTTCAAATCCTTCCTCTGCCGCTTACTACCTATATGATCCCAAGGTAGGACATTCAACTTGTCTGGGCCTGTTTCATCATTTGTAAAAAGCAGTTAAACTGGAAGAGGAGTTCTTCTTTGGTCATGTACATCTTTGGCAGCCCGGAGAAGCCTGTGTTTAGAATAATGTCTAATCAACAAGTATTTAATAAGTGACTACTTAGCACAACTGGGCACCATACTACTCACTCGATAGAGAAAGAGGCAAAAAATGGTCCCTTGCTCCTTAAGGAGCTCACAGTCTAATGAAGAAGAGAACGTACAAACAACTATGAGCACACAAGATGTAGACAGGATAAAATGGAGCCAGGCATGGAGGAAAGGCACTGTTATTAAGGAGGATGAGGAAAGGCTTCTTGTGGGGGGGTGGGGGAGGAATTTTAATTGAGAACTTAAAAAAAAAAGTCAGGACAGCTAGGCAATGGAGATAAGCAGGGAGAGAATTCTCTGAAAATGTCCACAATCAGGAGATGGAGTGTCTTGTGCAAATGAAAGCAGCCAGGGTATCTGCATCATATAGAATATATGGAGAGGAGTAAGTTGTTAGAAGACTGTGAAAAAGTAATGTTCTTAATGCATAAAATTAAGTATAGAGGATTATAAATGAAACCAATTATATTGAAAACGATTATCAAAAACCATTTTAAAAAAATTCATAAACCCCACAGTAAGCACTTCTGGGCTAGAAAATCCCCAAAGTCCCTTCTGGTCCTAAATCTGTGATGGTGGGAACCATATTGTAAATGTGCTATCCTTTGTAAGAAAATGTTGAGCGGGCAAAAGTTCTGATGCTACATGCTCCGTTGAAGATTCTTTTTGCATAAAAAACAATTAGTGGATTCATAGGGTGTTTTTGTGCTTTTCTCATCTAGATTTCTCATTTGTTTTAAAGGAGATGGACTTCTTTCATTAAAGTCAGTCAAATACAAGTAAATCTGTACATTTCCACAAACACGTTTGGATTTTATATTCTTCTATTTCATAGGTTTCTTTTCTTTTCTTTTTCTGAGGCAATTGGAGTTAAGTGACTTGCCCAGGGTCACACAGCTAGTGTTAAGTGTTTGGTCTAAGGCCGGATTTGAACTCAGGTCCTCCTGACTTCAGGGCCGGTGCCCTATCCACTGCACCACCTAGCTGCCCCTCTTCTGTTTCATAGGAAAGATTAAAGCTTATTTGAGAGTTTGCTCTGTTGCTATTTTAATAGAAGAATAAAGTTTTATTTGAACTATGTGATTATCTTTAACATGCTAAAAACTCAGCAGTACCTTAATTCATTAATTTACCAATTATTATTACCTGATAGGTACATTTGCTCTAATATATAATGAGTTATAGGTAGAAAACCTGCCCAGGTACAAATAGACTTAAACCATAATGTAATTAGGAGAACATTTCTTTTAAGTTCTGGATTTAAGCATACATTGGCTTTAAACACTTCTTCCTATCCTGTTTTAAATGGCATACTTACCTTTTTAGGAATCACTTAAGTCAATTTAAAACAAATAAAAATGACAACATATGTTGAAAGAAGGGCATTATTAAACGTAATTTAGTAACCTAAATATTAGGTTACCTCTGACCTGAGCTAAGCATCCATTAGAAGGTAAAGGATGATGATGATGATGATGATGATGATGATGATGATGACGATAATGATAACTAGCATTTATAAAGCACTTTAAGGTTTGCATAGCACTTTGTTTAATTTATTTATTTGATCCACACAACCCAGTTGGGTATGTGCTATTATCATCCTCATTTTTACATTTGAGAATACTGATGCTGAAAGGAGATAAGTGGCTTTCCCAGGGTTACACAGTAAGTGTCCCTGGGCAGGAGCCAAACTTAGGTCTTCCTGACTTGAAATCCAACACTTTATCCGCTGTGCCTCTTAACTGCCTATATTTCGGGTATTCGGTCTTTCATAATTTTATTTTGATGGTTTTGAATAGCAGACCTAACCAGTTATTTAACTTTTATCTTTTAGCTCATATTAGAGGTCATGGTCATAAATGGTTACTGTCTATTGGCCATGATACCAGCATGTCATACTTACATACACATAGGGCAGTAGTCTAACATACGTAGCTATATATATGTTTTACATGTGTAATTCCATTTTTCTCACATTCTTAGGTGTCACATCATGACCACCTTTTCTTTATGTATAATGTTAGTGAAATTTTTGCTTCTGTTCTGGGGAATTATCCTAGGTTTGGGATGAGCCGAAGATCCCCAGCCTCCATTGACCGGCAGAACACTCAGACGGACATCAGTGGCAGTGGGAAAGCCACACCCAGCTGGCAGAGAAGTGAGGAGAGCATTGCTGACCAGATGGGTAGGTCATTCATTTCTACAGAAAGAAAATTATTTTCACCACAAGGTGAAAGTCATCAAAGGTGACTAGCGTCCAGGAGATGACTTTAAAAAATGAAATAAAAGCTCTGTATATCTTTAAATGGAAGTCTAACTTATTAATAAAAGTGAATTAGAATCAGGGCCCTGGTTGACTGCCCCCGACACTCTTCCTAGAAAGCAATGAGTAAAACACAAAGGATTTTAAGACTGTCTTGCTTGAGGCCTCTGTTCTTAGGACACACAGACAGACTAGTAAATTATCAGCATCTTCAGTACCAAGAATGTACCTGAACCACCAACATGTATGTAAGCTACCTCTCCTCTTCTCCTCATTTTGCTTTAGTTTTTGCTTAGTTTATTTAATATTTCCTTGTGTACCTTTCCAAAAGGTGCTATATATGTCATATATATGCATTGGAACTGTAGGTTTTCTTTTTAATTTTTAAAAAATCTTAGTACAAAATGGAAAAAAAAAATCCAGAGAAGATTTAAATCATTAAATAAACCTGTAACTTGATTAGACACTTTTTCTATCATTGTATATATTTTCATTGTTCTCTGTAATTAAGCTGTTGACTAAGAAAATGTGATAGTAGCATAAAACAGCTGGGTACAACAACTTTGCATCATTAAGCTCTTCTGTGGAATTTTCAGCATGTTGTTCCTTCCCTTCTCTACATTGTAGTTGCTTTGCAGTGACATAATGACACAAGTTGGTACCGGTGAGATTGTGCCACAAATGTATTTTATTTATTTTATTATTATTTTTACCCCACCAAGTGTTTCTGTGAAGTTGTTTCACCAGAACTGGCATGGATCTGGGCTGCTAGATTATCCTTTCCCATCTCCATCAACAAAAATGACAGTCACCATCAAAATGGGATGCTAAGGAAATTTCAAGACTAAAAAAAGCTTAACTTTGTAAGCTGAAGACTCATAATTTTATCTTTACTCAAAAAGCAGCTCTTGTTACTATTCTATATTTGATTACTGTCCTCACATAATTGTGTTAACCGATAATGGAGGATGGGATGGGGGTGTGGGGGAAGAATTTTTCACAAAGACAGGAGTTTGTGAAGTGAAATGTAATTCTCAGGTTCTGAAGATATGCTTTATTCTAGTAACTTCAGAAACTCAATGTGCTATGCCTTGTTATTGAAGCCATCTGTCGTTTTCCGCTCTCTCCCCCACCCCCATTTTTGTCCCTTTTTAAGATGAAAAAACCTTAGACTGTACAGATCTGTAGTTCTCCTTTTCACTGAGTTTAATCACATATGTTTTGATACTGTTATGATGGCAACAATACATGTGAAGCTGATCTCTTGTTCAGCCTTATTTTTGTAGCTTCTGGAGGGTATGTTCAGGCTTTGAGCGAAGTTACTGGCAGACCAGTCACTTTTGTGCCACAGAAGCATAGTTTCTACATATACAAAGTCAAGGCAGGGTGGAAGTAAGGAAGGGAATATGGAGCATGTGTCTTGAAACTAAGAAAGATCATGATGAGATTCCTCGTGGAATTTCTCATATTTATTCTTTCACATAAACTTAGATTTGGTCTTTTTTCCTTGTGTCCCTTTTAATTCAATGCCTAGCTTTACTTGATACGTCAGACCTTAAAGTTAATGCTGATGAATGATATTGGTAATCTGTTTATTTCTTTAGTAAACTGCATTTTCATGCACTTTTTAGGAATTTATCCTAATGTCTATAAGAAAAAGCATTCTTCACTGTAGTTTGAGGGGATATATACAAGTGAAATCTTCTCTTCATTCCAAAACTCAAGGTTTTCTTTGGGCCTGCAACTTAAAAGAGAGATCTCTGAGAGATATTCTGTTCTTGGCATACAAGCAGTCACCTGTCATACCCAAAGGGAGCATAGGGACTTAATAAGTAGAAGTGATAATAGGAAGGGTTCAGAAGTAATAGCTACATAATGAAATGTATTTTTCCCTCATATGTACTTAGGTATAGCTATAGTCAATTATGGGCCCAATTTTGCAAGAACAACATTCTCTAACAACCCATGTTTCACTAATTCATAATATCTAGGAAACTTTCCTATTGGCCTCACCTTTCTCTATATGTGAATATGTGCTACTGAGAAAGCTACAGAGGGCTGTAAACACCTCTCGCCAGTCTTAACAACAGAGAGAAGGTGTTCATTCTTGCTTGGCTGGATCCATCCATATGGTAGGGTTTTGGTTTTTTTTGGGTAACAGTTTTTAGGTCAATCGTCTTTTAGAAATGGTTAAGAGCAGTAAAGAGAGTAGATTGCAAAATGCCTTAATCCTTAAGGAAAAGTTCTGTATTATTTGTACCATTTTATGGCAAAAGAGAATACTGATAAACAATTGATCTTTTACCTTTGGAACCCCACTTTAATACCAACTTGGAGTTCAAAAGGAAGCCAATGTTTGAAGTAAACTAGTTGCTATGTGTCTTTTCTGTTGTGCCTAGCTTACAGTTATAGAGGACCTCAGGATTTCAATTCTTTTGTCCTCGAGCAGCATGAATATACAGGTAAAATATTTCCAAAGTACCATGGTAAGTAATATGTAACTGCATCCATGCCTGTCCAGGTAATGTAGTTCAAGCTAGGTTAGCCAAATGTCACAATTAATTTCATAAATCCAACCCATATGTTCTAAATATTCCCCAAACTAAAAGTGGATTACAGACTTTGCCCTGTTGCTCATGGCCTTTTTTCTTTTTTTTTTCTTTCTTTTTCTTTTTTCTTTTTTGGTTTGGTGGTACTTGGCTATGCTACTGTGTCCAATGTGACACACTGTCACCAGCTGCAAGCTTTATCCATCAACCACTCAGTTTCTGACATGCTGTCTATCATGTCAGCTCTCAGTAAGCTTAATTGCTGAAGTTCCAAGTTTGCTGATCAGTGAACTGAGAGATGCAATGCCAAGCCGTCTTCATTTGTTACCCATGTTCTTGCTTTTATCTCGTGCTTGTACCTAATATCATGTGTTATATTCCAGAGCCAACATGCCACCTCCCAGCTGTATCAAAGGTGTTGCCATCTTTCCGAGAGAGTCCTAGTGGGAGATTAATGCGGCAGGATCCTGTGGTTCACTTGTCACCAAACAAACAAGGGCATGTAAGTTAACTTAAGAAGCAATAAAAGTCCTTGAAAGGTTTTACTTCCTAACCAGGGATATTTTTATATAACTCAGAGACTTAATAACTTTCAGAAATGTTATTGCAGAATCAGCTCAAGATAGGATTTCTTTGTTGGGATGTAAAAGAGGCATCAGAGCAGGCCTCTGTTACCTTTTCAATGTTCTAAAGCCTAAGTGAAGTCTAACAGTAAATGTATTCATGGAAATACATTCCAGCCAGTTGAATAGGTGATGTAGGCTCTGGCATTTAGAATAAACAAAGGATCTGTGGGAATGTTGATTACTCTACAGTTAAATATTCATTAAGAATTCATATATTTAAAGTTGTTAATTCCCGAAGTTTTAGCTTTTGAGATTTGCAAAGAGGTCTCCTATTAAAAAAAATTATTCCAGTTATATTCTTACTCCCATAGGTCTTAGAACAAGATGCAGTTTCATACATTTTCATATTTTAGTGGGAACTCAGCCCACATTGTTAGTAATCAACATTTGTGAAATACCCGAAATGTTCGAAGTATTTTGGAAAGTTCTTTAAGAAGGATAGTCACTTCTTCATTATTTGAATGTGAGTTCTGTCTGAGTAGTTAATCTCTCACGTCCAGTTTATGAACTTTGTACAGTGGAAAGAGCTCTGAATTTGGAGTCAGTAGGCCTGTGTTCAAATCCTAGCTTTACCATTGTCAGAGCTGCTGAAAGGAGAAGCAGTTACCAGTTATTTACATTTTAGTCTGAATTGATTTCAGTTTCTTTTCATAAAAGCACATCACCCTGGAGGAAAAATATGTATTAGAGATATGTATGGTGATTTAAATCCCCACCAATTCTCTCCGGGAGATAGACCTGTCCCTTAATGAGAATGTTTAAACAAAGTTGAAATGCCTTCCCCGTGACATCAGCCAGGTGAAGAATGTATTGTATCCTCTTTAAACAAATATAATGTATACATGTTTCCTTCTCTCCCCAGCCTACTTTTCCTCTCCACCAAAAAGCAGAAACCTGTCTTAATTGAAACACTTTTAATTGCATGTGTATTTTGAATCTCATTTCTTCTTTCTCCTTTTCTCTAGATAATGAATTAAATGATTTTCTATGGATTCTAGAAAATGCCCCTTTTAAACAACATAGCCATTGCCTAGGACATGCTTCTATGAGTAAAAATCATCAAATGGGAAGGTGTCACTCCCAGGAAAGTGCTTCCTAAATATGGGGGAGTTGGGGGATGATGGAAAGTGAAATTTATTTGGGAGTCAGTCGTACATCTGTTCTATTCTTCAGGTTACTATGAGTAATCAGGCCTTCTGGAATAATGAATTCTTCCAAATGACAAGTCCTTTAGAAATGGCATCCCCTTTCTATTTTTAAGATTAAATGAGGTGCTTAAGACTTTTTAAAGACACGCTTTCTTTTTATGTGAACTCTTAACAAGTAAGGGAAAATGTTCTTAAAAAAGACACGCACACACACCATATTTTGTCGTGGGTCCTTTTAAATAGCTGGAATTGTGGGGGTCTTTTGAGGTACCATCTCTCCAGCTTTGATTTGCCAGTATCCTTGATCCATCAAGATCGCCTCGATCCATCGAGAACTTATAAAATAGACTTCCAATCATGCCTTGTTCCTTTACCTATGTTTTCCTTGTAGACACGAAGTAAAAACCTGACTTTATCTTTTCAGTCTGATAGTCATTATTCAAGCCACTCCAGCAGCAATACCCTCTCCAGCAATGCATCGAGTGCGCACAGTGATGAGAAGTGGTATGAAGGCGATCGCACCGAGTCGGAGCTCAATAGCTTCAACTATCTTCAAGGCACCTCTGCAGATAGCGGCATAGACACCACGTCATATGGCCCCAGCCATGGCAGTACAGCGTCTCTGGGGGCTGCTACGTCATCGCCACGCTCAGGACCTGGAAAGGAAAAGGTGGCACCGCTGTGGCATAGCTCCAGTGAAGTTGTCTCCATGGCAGACAGGACCTTAGAAAAAGAGAGTCACGGAGTGGACCGGAAGACAGAGTCGTCACTGAGCCTGGATATCCACAGCAAGAGCCAGCCCACCTCTAATCCTTTAACAAGGGAGAACAGTACTTTTAGTATTAATGACGCTGCTTCTCACACAAGGTAACAATCCTCTCTAGATGCCATGTCATTTCCAATCCTCCATCTAGGATCTCCTTCTTCCATCCCATAGTCTACCAAATATTCAAAAAAGTTGAAGGAAGCCACCTATTTTATGCATCTCAGCAGAGTACTAAAAGAAGCATTCAATGTAGTAAAGTGCATTTAATGCCTTGTCTATCATAAAATACTTGATCAGTAGTCCTATAATCGTAATACATTTTAAAACTGGAGGATTCTTACATGTCTATCCTTTATAAAATTGTATTTGAAATTATGTTTTTTTTTCTTTCCTAATGTGCTCGTTATTTCAAGCTACTGGGCAGTTTTAAAGGATCACAGAGAAAAGGCAGTAATTTTGCATATCATTTGATAATAGATAATGCAAAACAGAATAGTCTCTTATTTGCAAACCTTTTCAGGGAAAAAAATCCACAAGGTTTTAAACGGAAGGGGTGATGTTATACAAAATGATTTCATAGTAGTTTTTTCAGCCTCAAAGATGGAGGAGGGATCGAACAGGAAAGATTAAGTAATTTAGAGGGTGTGGGGGTGGGGGTGTAAACACACACACACACATACGCACACATGAAGGGCAGCATGTTGTAATGGATAGAGATACAGCCTCAGCCAGGAAAACTTGGATTCAAATCTCCCCTCAGACACAAGTCACCTACCCTCTCAGTGTCTTCAGGCATTGAGATTATGAATTCCAGATTATAAATCCCAGAGGAGAGTTTTATCCCTGAGGGTTCCCCACACTAATGAAATCATAGATCCAGACCGGGCAGGAAAAAACACACAAAAAATACAAAACAACTCAGTATAAATGTCCATATACACACTTCTCAGAGTAAAACAGTCTACATTCCCTAATAAAATTGGAGAGTGCTCAGCTGGGCAAAACAGGTGTCACTTTTCTTGTCCTCCTTTGGCTTTCATCCAGAAACCAAAGCTTAAGACTTTACCCATTATTTTAAGTTATCCATTCTGTCAGTCTCTTTGTAAAACTGTTCATCTTAGTACTGGTTTCTCTTTTTCACTCTTCACTTTCCTTTAAAAAAAAACACAATTTTTGTTTTCACATCACTTCCATTTCCCACTTAATATATAAATTTCCGTCTTTTCATTCCCTCCCAGAGAGCCTTCCTTTATAGTAAAGTTGAAGAAAGGAATAGAATTCTCCAAAACTAACATTAGAAAATTGAAGTGCGTTGTTACACACCTGTGGTTCCCTCCTTCTTCAGAGAAGCGAGGTGACCACCCTGTGCTTTCATTCTGTAGTCAAGTTCTTTTCTCAACTCTCATATCATCTTCTATCCTCATGAAGAGAAAGAGCTTACTAAGGGAGGCCTAGTCATGTTCTGTCTGGTATTAAGTGAAAGCTATCTGTGACCGTTCCTTCACTAGACTCACCGGGTAAGTCTAATCATTTGCTTTTCATTTGGACCGGTACAGCAGTAATTGCTTTCTCTGTCTTCTCAGTAGAACCATAGATTTAGAAGTGGAAGGGGCCTTAGCAATAGGTTTCTAGATCTGTGGCTGAAGGGACTTGAGAGACCATCTACTCTGACTCACTCGTTTTCCAAATGACCCTTACTGACCCAGGCAGTAAGGGTCAGAGGTGGAGGCACCTGGTAATTAGGTTATTTTCTCTGTAGTTCCGAAGGTTATTCCCATCCTCTGTTTCTTTGGTTTTCTCTTAAATTTTTTGTCTTAAAGCACTGCACTTTTTTTTTTCAAGAATTGTGTTACATTTTGGAGATAGGGCTGTGTTCCAAATTTTCAGGACTTTTTCCTAATTTAAATTCCATAATGTGTGATGAATTAAGAAGCAGAATAGCGTAGTGGATAATGGTCTGGCCTCGACACCTATGGACTTTGTGACTCTAGGCAAGTCATTTAACTTCTTCTTGCCCCAGGCAGTTCTCTGTGACCATAAGTTACATAGCAGGTGCCCAACTGCATTGGTAAATGAAATGCCTTATACTCGTGAGATCAAGTCAAGATTTGAATGAAATCAGCATAGGATGAGGCTGAATACAGCTACCTCTTTGTACCCAAAACACAACATCAGGATTGGGCCATTCAGTGTTGAATGAATTGCGTCTATAAACCTACTCCAGGATGTATCCCACTGAAAAGATATACCTTGCCTTTTATTTTGATTGGATGCCTGGATGGTGCTAAATTCACCATATATTATCTAACATTCTGCTTTCTATTAGCTGTATAGAGATAAGTTTTAAAATTTGAAGTACCTTTTAACACATTAAAAATGAAAATGTTTTGAAGAATAAAGATTATGTAAGTCTTTAGGGTACAAGGGGGACAATGACAAGGCCTGGTCCCTCACCCCTGACACCCTAACTGATGTGTTGAATAACATTAGTTTTAGGACTTTGATAACTTAAATGCTTAGTGATTTGGGTGGGTTGATATAAGGGAAAAGATCTGTAGAATGAGAGATTTAACAGCTATTCTCTGCTAGGAGAAAAGAACTTGGTAACCAAATGAACGTTGCAGGAATAGCTAAAATCACTGTAAATTAGAGTGTTTGTGTCCTCAGAAGACAGGAACAATAATTAATGTGGAGATCACTTGACAATGCATGAAAGAGCTTGTACCTGAGAATCGGTGACAAAAAGCAAATTATAGTGATTAAATTCTGCAGCAGTATTTCTGGCTGGGCTCTGTTCCTTTCCACTATCCCTATTGATGATACTACAGGTTTCTTGTGGCATCCCATGAGAACTGCATTAAAGTAGGTTGGTAATTACATGGTATTTGTTATTTCTGAGTGTCATTAAGAGAAGCCATAAGCACTAATAACTTCCCAGAATTATTTTTTTAAGTCAGCCTATTGATTCTCATAAACTTTTTTAGCTAGATAAAAGTCATGTTATTTGTGGGTGTTTGGTTTTGTTGCAGCTTTTTTTTTAAACCATTTTCAGTGAAATGTAGGACTGTAATACCCAATGGTATTGTTCAACTTCGTTGGCTATCTCATTTTCGGATTTTAATATATAAGTTCTTCAAAATGATGATTAATGGTCAGGATAAAAGATCTCTAAAAGGTCTCTTAAGGTGTGGCTCCTTTCTGTTATTCCTTGGTTAACTAGTCCTTCTTTGAGCTCTGACCTTGCCTGCAGCATGCTGCTTTTCTATGTTGACAAAAGGCTTTCACAATCAGTGTTAAATAACCCTAGTCCTACTGAGCAATGCCAAGGACAGCCACCTGAGCAAACTGAGAAGAGTGCTCTGTCCTCCCACTCCCCCTGCCCACAACTGTTGGGCACTGTATTATACTGATCAAACATTATAACCTCTGGCTTGCCCTTTTTGTTGTTTAGCCAAGAAGAAAACCCTAGAAAAAGAATTCAGAAACTTTTTGCAGTCTTTCTCCAATCTATTGTCCCCTTAGGTTTCCCAGACCCTGCTTATGTCCTTTGCCTTCAGGTCAACTGAACAATTTTTTTTGATTGAACTCTTTTTGGGGGGGGGGGTGCTGCTGCTGCCCTCATGGAGTGCTGACACTAAGCATTACCTCCACAATCCTTCCACCTTTCTCACTAGCCTGAACTCCAAATTCCGGAGGCAGTTCTCCAATGCTACCTACCACCAATCTTCCTAATCTTGATAGGATCTCATTGTGTACTATTTTATTTTCAAAATCATTGACTATGTCTAGAGTAGTATAAAAGTATTACACATGTATATGTAATATATGTTATGTATGTGTGTGTATCTGCAGCTGATCTTCATCATTAGACCGGGGTTTAGTGTTAGAAGGTTAATGCCTAACATTGTTAGAGACTGGCTGACATTGGGTATAAAACAAATTCTGTGGAAAAGAGTGTTCACTTGAATTATCAGTGCACAATCATTTTCATAACTTTTTTTTTTCTGATTGACACGTTAATGTCACTGTTCACAACTGAAGGAGTGTGTATATGGGGAAGAAGGGTAGATTTTTCTCCTTTGGTTACAAAGACCAGTAGCCTGCCCCTCAAGCTGCTACTGATGAGTCCATAATACGAATACAGATACATACGTATTCAGTTTAAAGCACATTTGCTGTAGCGTTCAATCAATCAAGAAGCATGTATTAAGTGTCTACCAAGTGTTAGGCACTAGGTATACAAAGATGAAAGTGAAACAATCCCTGCCTTCAAGGAGCTTACCATGGAGTCAGCCCTGGTAGACAATGTATACATATATAGATATGTAAGAAATAGGTACTAGATAGTTGGAGGGAAGGGACAGAGCAAAGAGGCACTAGCACCTGGGGGGAATAGTAGCAGCCTAGGGGACACAGTAATGGGGAGGGGGGCAGATGTTGAGGAAGACTGGGGCTAGGGATAGTGATGTCAAAAAAGAGAAAAAGGAATCATTGAAGCATTTTAAAAAACACAACAGAATAGAAGAAGGTTCAGAGGAAATCACAGACAAGCAGGATAGCTTTAAAACTAATCCTGTTGAATTTGTGACTTGACTTTTAAAAAATGACAAGTTGGGGCAGCTAGGTGGTGCAGTGGATAGTGCACCGGCCCTGAAGTCAGGAAGACCTGAGTTCAAATCCAGCCTCAGACCAAACACTTGACATGCACTAGCTGTGTGACTCTGGGCAAGTCACTTAACCCTGATTGCCTCAACCCCCCCCCCGCCTCCCCCAAAAATGGCAAGTTGTCTGCAATAGAAACTTATAGTTTCTTTTTTTTGTTTTTGTTTTTTTATTTTTTTATTTTTTGTTTGTTTGTTTGTTTTAGTGAGGCAATTGGGGTTAAGTGACTTGCCCAGAGTCACACAGCTAGGAAGTATTATGTGTCTGAGGCCAGATTTGAACTCAGGTCCTCCTGACTCCAGGGCCAGTGCTCTATCCACTGTGCCACCTAGCTGCCCCTAGAAACTTATAGTTTCATATACAATCCTGTTTTTTGCATACAGAAGTGTTCATGTTAACTGATGTGTATCAAGTATAGACTAACAAAAAATTAAATTAT